AATCGGGCGAACAGCAGCGAGTGAACTGCCGGGCGTTCGGCTCGGCCAATCCAGATGTTGGATCTGCTGAATCAAACAGGTCTTTCACTTCGGCTCAGCCAAACATTTGGCTCCCTTCTGTTCATCTTGCTTATTCACTGGCTGCACTAATGTTACTGAACCTAGACCTGAGCAACTAAAGCAACCCCAGATCACCCTTATCCAATGGAAGTCTCTTACCTATCTGCTTAGCTAAAACCAGGAGGTGACTTTTTTTTGGCCAGGCAGTGTGGGTGTGCATACACTTTAAGAGGTACTGCTCTCTCAGCCAGGTAATAGGAAAAGACAACCAGGAGAGAGACATCCTTCATCCTTTTTGGGCAAGTTAGGAAATACTGTCCTTTTGGAAGGCAGTTATACTGCTTATGTCTGAAATTCCTGACATAACAGTTCTAGATGATCCTGCTTTTGCTTCTTGCTGCTAAACCCATAGCATTTGAAGGACGACAGATTTATGGCATGGGATTGAGGTAATCAATGCATGTGATCCATATGTGTGAGAGGAAGCAGCTATGACCATGTAGTGCTATAATACATACATCTGCAGAGTAATGTCCTCTTTATTATATCTTTGCTACTGTTTATGTTGACTACTGTATTATTCTTTGTTCTCTAAATGCATAGAATTATTGGTTAGGAAACAGATGTATGTTTCTATGAGGAAGGGGCTGGTGATCTAGAATTTGTGATCTGTCCCTTTATCTATCCCTGCGGGGTCCACGGTCCGGACACAGACCAATGGCTGACCTTTGCTTGGTATATGGCTTGTTGACAGTGGATTTTCCGGCCTCCAAGGCAGTACATCCACTGCAAGACATAGCCCAGTCCAGGTCAGCAATTGGTCTGTCTGGACCACGGTCCTCTTCAGTCAGTTGCTGGGACCGCTGGCTCTCCTAGCAACTGTCAGGGGTCCTTCTCCTCTGCAGTCATTGGTTGCTAGGACTGCCAAGCGGTCCTAGCAACCAGTAATGTCAAATGTGTTGCCCGTCTCCAGCTTTATAGGAGGGCGTGAGAGTATAATCTTCCATCCTGTCCAGCATCCTGCTTCACGTCCTCTGCAGTCATTGGTTGCTAGGACTGCCAAGCGGTCCTAGCAACCAGTAATGTCAAATGTGTTGCCCTTTTCAAGCTTTATAGGAGGGTGGAAGAGTATAATCTTCCATCCTGTCCAGCATCCTGCTTCACGTCTCGGCTCACGCTTTAGGCCTACTTTACCCTTGTAGTGCCCCGTCCCCAATACCTGCACTTCAAGTGTTTCATGCTTGTTTAGACTAGGAGTAAAGGAACAAGCAGTAATACCCTAATCCCATACCCTATTTACTGCCCCAGCAGCTGGCACTACCCTCTGCTTTGGAATGAGGGCAGACTCTTCCCATCCTCACATATAACACAGGACTGCTGGTCCTCCATTGTACATGAGGACGGAATGCCTGACTGGCTGCTCCTGCGCATTACAAACTCACAGACTTGTATAGGGCTATATTTCCCACTGTCTACCTTTATCCTCACCCACAAAACACAGCTCAGTAGACGTTTATAGGGCTGTAATGCATAGGTGCAGCCAGGAGACTGAGACTTGCAGCGCTGGATGTAAACAATTACCAGAGACCAGAGCAGATAGACTGAGATAAGTATGCATCCGTGAAGGGGGGGGGGCTTTTGTTTAGGTCAAGGCAATGGGGCAAAAAGAATGTTTGCTTTGTATAAAAATCTACCTGTCCTTTAGTGTGAACCTCTTGCAGTCCTGGTCTAGAGCAAAACAAACCAGAACCCCCGTGGGGAGATCCTTCTTTACACTAAAAGAATCAATTACCTGGGTTAAATTATTTCCATATTTTTTTTAATACTTATAACTGTGGACATTATCAAATCCAGGAAGAGCCACGGTCCAAGGGTCTTCACCCCGAAAACAATCTTTATTTATGAAGCAGATACATAGTTTGTTCCTGCCCATATGTGCTCAATCGCTAATCCGTTTCACCATTCCGGCTTATAATCTGAGTAAGCCGGAATGGTGAAACGCATTAGAATTGAGCAAACATGTGGAAGAACAAACAGTATGCATTAGCTCCATAAATAATGTTTTTTTAAACATTTTCGGCGAAGACCCTTGGACTGTGGCTATTTCTGGATTGGGTTGTTGTAAGCGACGGTGCACTTGTTTGCCTGCACCTGGGATGCAATTGCAGGCTAGCCGGTTCTGGAATGTGAGCGGAGTTTGCTGTGAATTACTTTGTAGACATTATTAATTTTATTTACTATTTTGACAATCGCAGCCTTTGACAACTTTCCACAGCTACCGTCTTCCATCGCCACATCATTACAGCATTCCACAACTCATCCCCCTTCACTGTAAAGAACTGATGACGAATCGTTTCTGCCATATGCAGCTGATATCTCCTTGTCCTATGTAGTCGTTGGCATATAAAAAAATGTATTCACATAATGTATCATATAATGATGACCGTGGATGTATTTGTACATATGAGGTCACCTCTAAGACATCTTATTCTCAACAGAGATGTTGCAAATGTCAGATCTCATTAAAATACAACAGCCTATATGGTTTTTTTTAATTCAGGTGAGCTCATAAAAATAATAAGCAGTACAGCAAGTCTTCTATGGTTATGCTTTAACAGTGCAAATAAATACATTCTTTGGGTCACACTTTCAAGAACATTTGTTTTTAAAGGATAAGTGTACTTTTCTGATCAAATAAACAGTGTTATGTCACGCCTTGTATTTGGTTAGTTCAATGCCTCCACAACATGGAAAAAAGCAGCCAGTATAGCAGGAAAACAAAAGATGAAAAAAGTAAAAGTGGTGATTAGATTGAGTGCATAGAGATGTAGACAGCTGAAATTATATTCAGATCTCAGCTCCTGCCTTCCTATAGGTCAATGAGATAGGTCCTGTAATGTGATGACCACTAGGGAGGCAGAAAGGACAGGGACGTGTCACAGAAAAAGTCAACCTTTGTATATAACTTTAGCTGCTTATATTTCTGCATGTACTGATCATTTTAATATGGGGGCCCAGTCACATATACAGAGATTACCTACATTTTACTGCACCGGATCAACGCAGGTCACCACTAGGACACCAAATGAAGCCAAGTTTTGGCGTCAGTTGCACTTTAAGGTTCCATTTCCCAGAGGACTCCAGTTTTAATCCTAAAATGCAGCCTGATGACTCCTACTTCTGTTAAAGCTACACTCCAGGCAGATATAAAAGACACACATTATTGCTGCTCTGCATTCACCAGCATGTGACTAAATGTATTTTTATATAAAAGCGATGTAGGGATCTGAATTCTACTTGGGATGAACCTCTTGCAATTCCCTGTATAGCAGAATTTAGACTGGGAGAGGGAGAAACAGCAGAAGGAGCCAATTAGGTGTGCTAATAAGAAAAATGCAGATGGGGAGAGAGCAGAGTGACAGGACGTTGAGCTCATGATTTCGCAGCGTCTCCTTTCTCTGTCCAATCATAGGGTGGGAAAGGGGCAGGGGTGTGCTGTGCAAATCTCAGAAGGAGAAGGCCAGAAATGCAAATCCTTTGGCAGGTAAATCAGCTACTATATATTCATTGTATTTGTGGGTTTAGTGTCTGTTTGAAGTTCAGCTTTACACTACATATTTATTACATTTCTAGAGGTGCATCTAACCAATACTAGGCCCAGGATGTTACACATTACAGGAGTTAACTAATCCCCTGATTACAGAGATTTTATAGAGGTTAAATATCAACAAATAATCAGTAATTTATCAGCGAGAGCTTTAAAACATCTCATGCTGCCAGAACGAGCACACAAGGCACACCCTTCCAACTCAAACTGGCTCAACATTAGTACATTAGCTTTAGGGCTGAACAAAAACAAAAACAAAAAAAATGTGACTGCTTCCTCCATTTGCACGAAACCGTATGGATGGTGGAATTTTGTGACCTTTCCACTTTAAGCACCTACAGTACATAAACTTAAATTCCTCTTCTGCAGGGGTGGGCAACTCCGGACCTCCAGCTGTTGTGGAACTACAAGTCACATGAGGCATTGCAAGACTGACAAGTTGCAGGCATGACTCCCAGAGGCATGTTGAGGTTTGTGGTTAAAGCACAACTGGAGGGCGAATTGCCCACCCCTGCTCTTTTGTGTTTGTTGCAGCTTCCATCCCATGAGCCAAACATTGTATTGCCTTGCACACTGGTGGAAGGTTCAAGCATACACTTGGGATTATGTTCTGATTCAGATAGAGTGGGGAGGAGTTAGAACATGTCAGGGTTTTATTGCTGCCTATGTCCCCAATGGAGAGTAATTGGGACTGAAAGTGATGCAAAATCCAGGAACAGAGAGGAAATCTTCTGATGGGGGCACCTGTTCTGGTGACAACTGTCCAGGAAGGGATTTCCCTCACTTTGGAGAGATTGTCAATCACAAGGAATGAAGTGAAATATCCCCAATGGGATAAAACCTGACCAGGGCTTTAAGAATTCTATTTTTTATTGAAAGTGAAAAAAGAAATTTGGCTTTAGATATGCTTTAAGTGAAGAGAAGAAAATCTAAACTAGGAGGACCATGGATGATGATCCCTAGATTTATTATAGGAGCTAAGGGCTTGGATTCAGTAAGCTGCAATATCATTTAAATCTTGAATCACTTGCCATATCTCCCATGCCAAAATGACATATACTATTGGTTGAAAATCCACTTCCACATGCCTTAAGTGCACTTCAAGGTACAATAAAGAAGAACTCCGGGCATAATCATGCTTAACCCTTGCAGTGAGGTACCCTTGCACTGCATTATTCATTGACGGATGAAAATAACGAAGATATACTCACCCAAACCTAGGAGCAGGCAGCTGGCTCCAAGGTTCAGGTGAGTATAATTTGTTTATTTCGTCCCTAGACAAAAACGTGCACTTAACACTTGCAGTGTCAGGGGGTGGACCCCTTTGCAAGGATTAAGAGTAATCATGCCTGTAGTTCTTTAAATGCATTGCAACTTGATGAACTAGGGCCGAGGTGATTTCAAAGTGCGCTTATTTTTTTAAACACTCAGGAGTAGCAAAATATAATATACTACAAGCATACGCTTCTGTACAACAGGTTCAAAATATTTTCTTTCATCACTATACAGTACTAAAGTATATATTCTAGAACAAATCAAAACTGAATAATAAAATTCACCCATATAGAAACATCCTATTGTCTAAAAATATGGCCAGTTATGCTTGAATTGTGCCAAGTGCTGAGCACATGACATGAGCGCAGTCTTTCCTCACATTAAAGCTCTCGACTAAGCAGCTTACATCCAATTCTTCTAGCTGGAGAGGTTGTGGTGAACTCCTTCCATCAGCTTGGCATGGAACGCTCGTCCTTCTTTGTGGATATCATCTCTTTCTGGAGGCTGGGATGCGTTTACTAGTAGCTAGAACTGGATTCCCCGTGGTGCTGTTAGTGCCGTTACTGGATGATCCATTCACAATAAAATAGTCAATTTTGTTCTCTAACTTCCCGAGGCGTTGAAGGATGTCGCCCAGAAGAACTGCAATTGTCCTCTTCAGATCAGCTGTTCAGGGGTTAAATCAAAAATAAAATAAAAATGCATGGCAGAAAACATACAGTAGGGGGGGTTTTTAACAAAACTGGAGCAGAATAAATCTGGAGCAGTTGCCCGTAGTAACCAATCAGCTTCTCTCTTTAGTTTGTTCAATTAAGATTTGAAAATGAAAGCTAGAAGTTGATTGGTTGCTATTCACAGCTGCTCCAGATTACATAAATTCCCCTCGCAATGTCTGTACTGGACACACTGCAGCTGGTGTCAGTTAAACGGAGTATACAAGTTCAAGTGGTATTCTACTTCAGGGAGGGATTGGGTAATCTGTACATAATTAGGGAAAATAATAAAATAGTGTTAAGGTGCCCATACACCTTATGACCATCGCAAGACTTTTGTCTTGCGATGGTCGTAAGCTTATTAAAAGCTCGTACGATCTGCCCATCTTGAGGGGAGGGCTTCTGATGACCGCAATGAGGGGCGGGCTTCCGATCACTGCAAACGGGCAGTGTGCGCACACCGGCCCGTTCGGCATTTGTCTCCCGAGAGCGGCACTAACCCCCCAGCAATCGTACGATTCTCGGCAGGTTTTCAAGCCTGCACGGGAGACAAAAGACGTGCGACCGTACAGTAGAAACGGTCGCACGCCTTCCATACACCTTCTGATTATCGTACGATCGCGGGATTTCCAGGGATTATCGTACGATAATCGGCAGGTGTATGGGCACCTTAAGGTAGGAACATACCTTTGTCAACTTTTTTTTTTTAAATTACCTATCTCTGACTAGCGAGAGATTTTATAGTGGCCAAGTATCAAAACATAATCAGTAACTTATCGGTGAGAACTTTAGAACATCTCATGCTGCCAGAACAAGCACACAAGGCACACCCTTCATACTCAAGCTGGGTAAACATTTGTAAAAAAATTTCCTTCAGCTTTTGGGCTGAACAAAAAAACAAAAACAGATGCTATACAAAAGGTGGATGGAGGAATCTGCTGCTGTGGCCATTGTATTTTGTCCCTGCCAGTTGTTAAAATACCCAAATAGTGCCTGCATCTGATTGGACGCAGACACTGTCCGGCTGACAATTTTACACCCAGCTCCTTCGATCTTGCAAGCCACTGATTTTGGGCGAGAGGCAGCAGATAGGGTGAATTTCGGCCAATTCATCCAGAACCGGACATCATTTGCTCACAGTGCAGCCAGCTAAAGTCAGAAATGTTCCCCATACTGTCAATGTTATGTAAAAGATACAAAAGATCCCCCAAATACTTACCATTTAGCCTGGATGGTACCCATCTGCATTAGACAGGCACCACAATTCTAGCACCTTCTTGCCAAGAGCCCCTGCTGAGCTATTGAACATGCGAAGGGCAGAGCCATCAATTAGCTGCTCCATACATTTCCAGTCCTATAGGATGGCCATACACTAGCAGAAGTTTGTTTAAAAAAATAGTTTTCTGAATGTTTGTTCGATTTTCTAACAGTTAATGGGGTCAAAACGTTGAACATTTTCAACCATAGGGGTGAACAAAAAAAATCAAAGAAGCAGGATAACATTTTTCTCTTGAATAGACCAAATTCGAACAATAATGTGGTTTTCATTTGTGAAACTCTATTAATTACAAAATTGAATGTTAATGTAAGGATGGCCCAGAATTCACCAGGAAACTTACACAGGCGCAAGCTCGTGCGCATTCCGTTACACGTATAAGATAATGGGCAAATGTGCTTTAGCTGGTGTTCGTGCACACAAAACGGGTGCACGCCAGTGTCCATGTGCACAAGCATTAGCTTCAGTGTAAACATGCACACGTACAGGCGTGCTCATTGGTGCCAGTCTGCCTTTTTAAACTCTTCCAATTTGTAAAGTGCTGCGCACATTTTGGGCGCTATATAAATCCTGTATAATAATAATTTAAACCTATCATGGACTCTTGACTCCAATTGCTGACTGGTCTCCAGCTTGCTCCTGTATTCCTGTGACCTAACATGCAACTCCTGTTTCCTGAATGACGATCCTGGCTTGTGACCCTGACCCCGCTTACTGATTTGGTGCCTTGCTTCTTCTTCTCTGTGTAGGACCCTGGCCCGTGACCTCGAGCCTGATTTAGATTACACATTTGGCACTGATTCGTCCAGAAAATGATCGAACTTGGTCTGTGTTCCCAACTTTGTATCTGTTGCCTGTTCCAATACTCTGCTATGTTCAGTGGGCCGTCTTGATCCTACAGCTGCCAAGACCACAGATTTTTCCTATGAATGTTTTTATGAAAATCTACCAGTGTATGAAAAGCTTTTGGTGCTGGACAGGAAGCAGTGAGAAACCAGGGTGTCTGTCAGACCCAGGAGAGGTAGCACTCCACATCAGAGGTGAGTATCTGGGTGCTATGTTCCACTTTTATAAAAGCTAGGCAACATGGGGGGCAAGTGGGCCTAAATCCAGTTTCTGTTAAAGAATATCTATGTTCAAACATTAAAAACAAAACTGTATTTCTATATTGAATTTCCATATGTTCTATCCCACTCCTAATAACCACATCCACCTGGAGGTTTTTAAACTCAACTTAATGAAGATGCCCATAGGATGTACTTCCTCAATGCACTGACATACTGTAAATGTTACACGGTCCTGTGTCGCCACTCTCACAGAGCCTGCCTTTTGAACAACAATTCAACCTCTGAACAACGCAACATTATCATTGCTAGCTGGGAGCGATGCATGATGGGCAATGTAGTCTTGAGAAATCAAGATTGTATCACATCAAGCAGCAGGGAAAGAGATGTAAAGCACACTGGGAATCCAGGAAGTTGGTGAAAGTGATGGGCAGACAGAAGGCAGCACTCACTACATAAAAGGGATTTTTACAAGTAAGCTTTGACTGCACTATCAAAGACAACTCTAGAATGTATTTCTTATTACAATGCTGATGTTATAACAGGATGTTATATGCTGGGACTTTAAAACTCACACTCAGTTGTGTTTCCAGATAATCATAGACATCTAGAAGCTACAGATATTCTCATAGCAAACATGCGTCTAAAGGCTGATGTTAAATGAAGCACACATTCCGTCACGTGTCCATTACTTCAACCTAAGCAGCTGTCATTCTTTGGGTGTGGCAACAGACTAATCTAATACTCTAGATTATTTGCCTTTCAAATCATGTCACACAACCTGTGTAAATTCACAATCTTCCCAGCGCAAATGAATCACAGCAAGCCCTCCTCCTTAATTGATTCCACCTGATCACACTGGGGCAGCTCCACAAGGCAGGGAACCTTAAAAGGAGAACTATGACATGAGTGATTTCCACTCACCTCATAGTTCTAAGCCGACCTGTGACAATGAGACTGTCACAGGTCGGCTCAGTAGATCGGGAGGTGAGCGAACACATACCGGGTTCCCTCACCTCTCCATCCTGTTACGGCTCTCTGCCGTGACAGCGGAGGGGCTGGATTCCCCTCTCCCCGCTCCGATCTGCCAGCGCTGACTGGCGGAACGGACGGGGGAGGGTACAGCTGGCTCTGCCTCTAGATAGGCAGACCCAGCTGTCACTCACGCAGCTAGGCGGATCCCTTCATCTACGTCGGGATCCGCTCCAGCTGCGGTGTCTCAGTATACCGCGAGCTGTAGCTTGCGGTATACTGAGCTTAGGGTAACGGGAGGACGCTAGTTTGTGTCCTCCCGTTACCCCAAGGAGAACTATGGGGGAAAACACTGACCCCATAGTTCTCCTTTAACATCTATAGAATGACAAGCGCCCACTCTATGTGGAGGATCATTTAATAATTTGCTTTTAAAAAATGCTAATGTGCTCTAAAGAGAAAAGTGACACAAGCGTATTCCATGGTTCCCCTCACAGGGGGCTATCACCCCTGGGTTCTGAGGAAGGGGGCGTGCCCCAGAAATGCATTAACCCTTGCCACTCACTGCTGGAAGAGGAGCGGTCGTGAGCTGACTTGGCTGCGCTGTGGCTTCTGATGGGCAATAGCCTCCTGTGAGGGGAACCATTGAATATGCTTGTGTCACTTTTCTCTTGTGAGTACATTACCATTTTTTAAAAGCAAATTATTAAACGACCCTTCACATGGAGTGGGCGCTCTCCTTTTTTGTCATCCTATTAATGTCACACAACCACCTGCTTATGGATTTCTTTAAACTGGAGCTTTTTATAGTGGTTTTCGGGTACTTATTACACAGTTGTCACTCCTACCAAGCTCCTTGTGGTCTGCAAATCATCAACAGCTACCTTTTGTTTTCAATGGCTTCTCCTAGCGTTCACCCCCCTCCCTCCTCCGGCACAAGAACGGCCCAGGGGCAAGTATAATGCCATCCAAAAACTCTCTGCATCAGATGCTCTTCATTTTTCAACATTAAGTGAACAAAGGTCACATGCTAAATGACATTCCCCCTTGTTCTAATATAGAACTTGAAGTACAAGTAAAACTCCTCATTCCACATCCAATAACACTTGAAACCTCACTCTGATTTGGTACATCACCAAGAATTTCACCCTGAAGGACTTTGCGCACTCTTGACATTCCTACGTATTTGCATGCTGCATAAACAATGATATGAAGAGATTACTCCTTATAGCTGGAAGGCAGAAGTACGTAAACTGGGAGCCCGATTTAAAAAATGTGTCAAGTTTAAAATATGGTAGCAAGGGAAATAATTATGAAAACATAGTACATATTCATGTTATGGGAGGGAGATCAAGGAACTTTTGGCCTGGGGGGCAATCACAACTAATAGGCCCATTTACAGTACAGACACGTTTACACTGCACTGTCCTCGCAGAGATCTGTAGGGGTGGCATTAATGGGTGCAGTAGTCTGCTATATACTGACTTTGGGTCACTGGAGGAGTAGTACATTAGTAAATAGACTCCTGTAACCCAAAAGAGAAGTCAAGCCAAAAAAAAAGTCAAGCATGTCATTCACTACTTTATTCACAGTCTGCCAAACACTGAATATAGATTTTTGCTCATAACAGACTGGTATTGTCATAGACGTACTGTTTGTCACAGCGTTAATGTGGTAAATGACAGTGGGAGGGCCAGTTCTGGCAGGGTGTCTTATAGCTCGGAACAGATAGATCAATAAAGATGACTGATTAGAGATTGACCCACAAATAGGAAGAGTCTGCAGTCAGTCAGGGATCCCCTATGAAAGCTGTGTGGGTAAGGACATTCTGGAAGTGTAAAATATATGCTGGGAGTGTAACATCACTGTGTTGTTGACCCAATTCCATCTGCAGAAGTCGATCCTTAGATCAACTACTGCAAAGGAACATGTTGGAAAATGTTTGACTGCAAGCTCAGTTTGGCCAATCAGTTGCAAGCTTCGTTCGGATATTCTGAGAGTGGCCAGCAGGGATTCCTCCATCCACGCTTGTAAGTGTTGATGGAGGAATCTGTTTTATTTTTGAAAAAGAAATAGACGCATGTATACCCGACTCACGTCCAGGCCTGTCTGGCCTAAATGGACAGGCACCTGAATCAGATAGACATGTGACCTAAAACAACATGGAGATGTCAAGAAACTAAGGCTGACCATACGCTGTTAGAATTTGGCTGATTTGCAGGAATCCTCGGAAATTCTAACCGTACAAGGCCCTGCCAGCTTAACAAAAGTCGAAAGGAGTCAGGCCGAAAATGTTGAGCCTAACAGTGACTGCATTTACCACTGACAGGGGTGCTTACAATGCTCGGCTTTTATTCAGTTATTTAAACCTTTATCCTAAAAGGTAAAAAAATTGAACTGCTGCTGTAACTGCGTAAAAAGTGTTAACTGGAGTTTGGCTTTAATTTGTTAGTGAAGTCCACCTAAATTTGCTAGTGGATCTAACACCACCCTCTCTATAGGGTGACATGCTGACGTCCAATGGTGGCTCTGTTGCTCCTCTATAGAGTGGATCCTCCTTAAGGCAAGAAGCGTGTTACTGGCCAAATCACCAGGTAAAGATAAAGGACATAAAGCCTAAAAAATTAAAACGAATGCAGCCACCACATGTAAGGATTGGTTAGCGGCAATATATTAGATTTTGGGTTTTGGGTTTAGATACGCTTTAAAACTGCTCCCAAACAGATTTCATTCATATAATTCACTAAACAGATCAAAGCAACCTACCAACAACACTGATACACACACACTCTGCAATGGGTGGGCACCAGGAAGGGAACTTTTTGTCAAGTATTGATACAATTTTCTGTTTTATCGAAACTGTAAAAACCATGAAAACTTTTGTTGCCGAGTTGCCTAAATACATTCAGTTTTTTTTTTTTTTTTAATTAAAAAGTGGACTGACATTGTAATGTGCACTGTATCTAACCTCTTCCCATTTAATAATTAGACGCTGTCACACGACCACATACCAGATTATTTATTAGCATCTCACAACATACATCAGGCTGTAATTATTTCCAACTGCTTTCTGGGGATGTATATTGTTACAGTAACGGAGACAGTAATTATTTGTTGTATCGTGTTTGTTTATCATGCCCAAATAAAAATGTTTGAAACTGGTGGAAATTGCAGAATGCCAAAAGGCAGCATAAACCTCAGTTTGCTCAATGGGTTTCTAGGTAAGCAACAGTTTGTAAAGGAAGGCAGACGTTAACAGAAGCCTAATGGCACCAATAGAAGTACTTCCAAAACAGGGAACAAGAGTAAATGATAAGCAAACCATTGTTAACTATTAACGCTAAAACCAGCATTTTTCTTCACTTGCATATATTTTTCTTTATTTTCTTTACTTGATAGTTAACACAACTATTCATCCCTCCCTCCATGCCAAGGTGCTAGGAGTCATCCTGGACTCGGACCTCACCTTTCTGCCCCACATCCAATCACTATCCAATTCCTGCCACCTTCACCTTCACAACATCTCCAAAATACGCCCCTTCCTCACCAATTAAACCAAAGCTGCTCATCCACTCACTTCTTATCTCTCTTCTTGACTATTGCAACTCCTTCCTCATTGTCCGACCTCTACACAGGCTATTCCCCTTTAAATCTATCATGAATGCAGCTGCCAGACTTATCCACCTAACCAACCGCTCAGTGTCTGCAACCCCCCCCTCTGCCGATCCCTGCACTGGCTTCCAATCAACCAAAGGAGAAAATTAAAAATATTAACAACCACTTACAAAGCCATCCACAACTCTGCCACCGTCTATATCTCAAAACTTGTCTCAAAGTATCACCCTAACCGCCCCCTCCGCTCTTCCAAAGACCTCCTGCTTTCCAGCTCCCTCGTCAACTCCTTCCATGGTGGTCTCCAGGACTTCTCTAGAGTCTCTCCCACAGGGCTGTAGCTACCATGGTGCAGCTGAGGGGGGGGGCGCAGCCTGTGCCCTTTCGCCCCTGTTGCCATGGCGAGCACCGGACACCATTGGCAACAGGGGCACCAGGTGGACAACACAGCCGCGGCTCGGCAGGGAGAGGAGGAGCGGCACAGGCTCCAGCTTCTCCTTGGATCCCTGCTGCTCTCCCCCACCTGTATGGGCAGAGGACTCTGTGTCCTCAATATCTCTTTTTCTATTTCAAAAGGGAAATGTCACGGGTCTGTTTAGACCCCTAATATTTCCCCGAAGCCCCCCAACAGTAAAAGAAATAATAATTAAAAAAACATAAAAACACACACACACAAACACACACACACATTTGTTTTGGACGAAATGAATAGAAAACTAAATATATTTTCATTAGTTTAATCAAACAAAACAAATTTTTATACTATTTCGGATATGGCCACCAGCACGGTGGAGGCGGGACGCATGACGTCACATACCGCACACGTCTGTTGGGGGGCACAATTTTCCGTTCCTGTTCTCGGGCGCAAAAGGAGCTAGCTACAGCTTTGCTCTCCCATCCTCTGCAACTCTTTACACCAACCTGTCCGTCCATCTCCCACTCTGACTGCCTTTAGGCGATCCCTTAAGACTCATCTCTTCAGGGAAGCCTATCCCACCTCTAACCAACCACTGGACCATCAAGTTCTCAAAAAGTCCATTCCCACACAGCCTCCTCCACATGTACCAATTTGCCCCTCCCTTTTAGATTGTAAGCCCTCACGGGCCCTCCTTAACATCTGCATGTACTGCAGAGATGTAAAGCATGTTTTTTCCTCGCCTTCACATGTGCTTGAAACAGAAGGAGCAATTGCATATAAAAGTGCATAAACGTTTTTTTTCCTTCAGAAGATCTGCCAGCCCTAATGTTTTCTTCTTTCTTTCACCCTACATTACTCTTATTGTAATGACATTGATAAAGGAAACCAGCCACTTAGCCTCAGAGGTTGTTTCATCAGTTTTTGTTAGTTCATTGGCTAGGATCTTCTCAAACCTGTTTATTTTTTATAAATATATTTCATATTCCCTTGAATATCCCGTTTGACCAAAATGTGTCAGGAACTTAATGATCCTTTGTCCTATTTTGGCTTCAAGTGATATAAATTGGTGCAGCTGACACACCCTCTGTCTGCCCTAAATTACTCACAGCAACCCTTTCCATTGGCTGAAGCCTGCTAAAGTGGTAGTCAGGGTGAAAAGCAGGCACCAGGGTTCTGATGCTTTATGGGCAGCCTCAATATCCAATAATTACAAGTAATGTAGACCAGGGGTAGGCAACCTTGGGACTCCAGCTGTGGGGAAACTACAAATTCCATCATGCCTGTAGCCGTTAGGGTCTTCCAATCCCTCATTGGACTTGTAGTTCCAGAAAAGCTGGAGTGTTAAGATTGCCTATCCCTTATGTGGACTCTACTTTGGGTCCTATATGATTTTTTTATGGTATATTGGCTAATTAGACCTTTGGATTTGTTCAATGCTGTTATGGTACCATACATTGTTCCTGGATTCTATATCATTTAGAATTGAAGCTACAATACAGATTCATTTTAATACTATTGAAATGTCAAACAGGTTCTGTGCTACCTACCATATCCTGCCATGGATCCTCCATTCCCTCCATTAACAAGGTCTTTATTCTCTTCAGCTAAGGCCTTGACATATCTTCTGCTGAGGTCTAAAATCTGGTCTCGGAGCTCTGAGCTGCTTTGATGTGTGGGATACTGAAAAGTATAGCGTAGTAACATCAGCCCCCAAACGAAGCCAAAGGCAAGAAGTAAAAGGCTCAGTTTCTGTGACACAGATTTTCTGGAGAATGTTAAATACATGGTATGGCTCCCAGGATACACGGCTCACACCCAAATATTGCTTCTTCCTGAGATGTCAGATACAGGGTATGGTCCTAGATATGTCATATTCATTTGCATAGCTCATTTTAGTGAAACGGTGCTCCTCTCCGAATGGTAGCTGTAGCATCTGAAAAACAATGCACAGAAATGATAGCTCACAGTATGATATTACATTTTTACCCATTAGTAATGCTAATATTTCTCCAGACCCACTAGGTTTGCAGTTGAGCATACAATATGAGAAAAACCAGAATGTTTTGTACTCACCATAAAATCCGTTTCTCTATGTTCATTGAAGGACACAGCAGAGAACTTGAATTTCTGACTGATGGTGGCCAAACCCTACATGTGATAGAGGCAGCTCAGTTAGTCACAAGTGGTCACGGACATCACAGAGGGGCAGGTGTTGTGTCCTTCAATGAACAGAAAAATTGTACGGTGGGTAAAACATAACAAAAAAAATCCTAATTTCTCTGCTGTTCTTTAAAAGGACACAATAGAAATCTTGAATCTCTGACCATCGGGACTTTTCAAAGCAGTACCAAGGAGGTGGAAAAACTAAACATCTCCCCTAAAGCAGAAACAGTACAAACTGCCAGTAAGACACGCAAGCTGATACTGGGATACAGAATTTTTCCGATTGGGGAGGGCCTCTGACTGAGCAAAGTGCAAGAGCCCATTCCAACATCATAAAAGACCTTGGGCCGGAAACCCATCCAGGAAGCTCTGAGACAGTCAAACTTATGAGCAGAAGTAATGGAACCTCACACAGCACAATCTACACCAAAGAAGAGAGGAAAAAAAACACCTTCTGACATACTAGAGCTGCACAGAGATGGGGAACCATTTCCTACCTGGGGTAGTAAGCCGAAACCATATTGGCAAGGGGGAAGGCTTTAGACCTTAGCACCATTACATCCTCGTGTAGGATAAGGAAGGGTTCTATACAGGACCAGCTCAGAAAAACAAGCTTCGTAGAGGTGATGGCAACAAGGAAGGCAACCATGTAAGCAAGGGTAGAATATTCCCCATAGGTTCAAAGGGCGGTGTTGAAGTACTGCCAGAACCAATTCCAGCTCCAACTTAGGTACAGAAGATAGTACGTGGGGGAGAGAGCAGCTATGGAATAACATTGCCAGGGCCAGAATCATACATCACTATCATGAAGACCAAATGCTGATTCCAACCTGATAGTAAGAGGTCAAAATGTTGTCTATAGAATATATTCCGGAGTAAAAGTTTATTTTCTTGTACCAGGCAAAGTATGTCATCCATACGCAAAGGAAGGCCCCGTAGAATTAGATTACCTAGCTTCCAACAGCATGGAAATCACTGATCAAAGGGACCCATACTTCATAAATCCTGGGATCCAACAAGCATGCCAAGCTCCAGAATGTTGATCAGGAGACAGGATTTCGCTAGAGACCATGTCCCCTGTACCGACAATGTGTATAGGATTCCTCCCCAAGCTGGCATTCATCACAGGGATCCTCCAAGAAATCAGGATGAAGGATTTCCCCAGCACAGGGCCTCTGCGGTCAGAGACAGCAATTAGGTTGCAATTTGCCTCATAAATCGTGTATAGCTGCAGTGAAACTGACAAAAAGAGCACTGGGTGTAACGTCATCAGCTGGCACCCGCCCATTCACAGGAAGTGCTTATTCATAAAATGGGCAAGGCTTTTGCCCATTGATAATATGGCTGCTGGAGCACCGCATAGTAAACACAGGTAACCATATATAATATGGCTGCTGGTGGATCCCATTCAGAGTACAGCCGCTAGCGCCCATCCTTAACATGTCCACCTTAGCCCTGCAGAAGAAAAAACATGTGGCCGGGCAGCAATAGTTTAGAAAATACCTGCTCAGGTAAGCCAGGATATCGCTGGCTATATAATATCATTTTTATTACATTGAAAGCACTAATTTATGGCTCACATAAAGACCTACTGTATTGGGTACTGGAAAAGCCAGTGTTCTGTTCTGAATGTGATCTTGCGAGTAGTAATTAGGTTATGAGTGCGCGCTCCGTAACAGGAAGTACAGAGAAGCAAAGCACAGGAAGCCAGAGGACGCTGCCAGGGGAGACTAATGCAGCCACTATATGCTGCAATATATTACATTTCTTGCTTTTGGGTTTAGACAAGGTATGAAGCAAGATCTACATTTATGCACCTGCATTGCTCTGCGTTTTTGTTAATGCTTTCCGCAGATACTTTGTCATGTGCTGCCATTCCTATCAAAAACCACACCAATGGATAAAAAAAAAAAAACAGCCGTAGATTTATTTGGCCAACACAAGTCGACACACAGCACATGCAAACTAGCACCATTTTAAAGAATGGGAAACCATTGCACAATATATAACGGGTACAAAGTACCCGTTATATATTTGTACTGATGAACTCAGCTGTATTACCGTAAAATGACATTGAGACCCACTAATAGAAGAGAGCTGGGTGGAATAAAGGTATTACTGTGGAGAGATTACTGTAGCTTGTTCAGCAGTTAAATCATTAAACAAGCTTTGCTTCTTTCAACACAGATCCAGTTGTTATGGTAAATTGAATAGAATGCTTTTGCCTCAACCCGACATGAAAAAAGATTATTTGAGCGAGATTACCCTGTAATTCTGTTCATGGAAGAAAAAAATGCTAGGCCTCCCTTGGGGAAAAAAGAAGTACACATGTTGTAATAAAACCAATTTGCTGCAGCACAGCCATGCTGTTGAAACAAACCGTGTGTTTCAAAACCTGTATTCATTCTTACGGAGGGTGATCACCCGTATTGTGTAAGCTCTTATTATATGAATGCATACTAGGCTTTGTGTACGCTTGTATTGTATGGATTCATTCAAAAGGGATATTCCCGACTATAGGAAAAAACTGACCTGACCGAAGACCTCACTGTGCCAGTCTTAGAGCAGATGTAAACCCAATCACTGAAATCTCATGTTAATGTCATTTCCAGTCTTTTTAAATCTGCAGCGTTCATTAAAATAATACCTTATGATCCTGCCATGAAGGTCCTTGTTTAGAGACTTCCTGTTATGTGGTGACATCTGTCTCCTGATTGTGCTGCTGCATTCTCACTTTGTCTTATGCATCCCTAGTTAAAGGGCATCTATGGTCAAAAAAACAAATTCAATCTGTATTTCTATATTGAACTTCCATATGTTCTATCCCGCTCCTAATAACCATATCCATCTAGAAGTTTTAAACATAGGCCTGATTCACACAGCTAAGAGTCGGCCTGTACAGATGCGTGCGGCGTGCACGGTCGTGTCGGGTCATTCCCAGGACGAACAGGTGCTGTGTGTGATTGTACACAGCAGCCTGTTCTTCCCTATGGGAGGACGCGGCCATACGCTCAGATCCATCCTGTCTGCATACGAGTACGGACACTCGCACCCACACGGATCTGCAGCTCGGGGGAGTGTACGCCCGCATCCACCCATGGAGAAGAACAGGCTGCTGCATAAAATCACACAAGGAACCTGTCCTTCCTGGGAACGGCCCGATACGGTATTGCACGCCACATGGATCTGTACAGGCCAACTCTTAGCTGTGTGAATGAGGCCTTAAAACAGTGACATTAAAGTTAAAAAAAATGTTTCCCTCCCCCCAATGTTAATGAAAGCACTTACCCTAAATGATGTTTCTTAATCCGATCTTCTTCCTTCCTGTCATTTTCATCTGTCCTGCTGTGGGTCTCCGATCTAGCACTGACTGCTCTGTGCTTGCTGGCACTTCCTGTCCCACGGTGTCTGCATGCGGGTGCACGCGTCCATAGACTTACCTTGTGTCTCTCCTCGTCTCCCGTCCGAAAATGTGAACTGCGCACGCGCAGGACCCAAGAAGCTTTGCGCCCACCTGAGGATCTTCACATTTTCGGACTGGAGCGTGCAGGGAAGACACAGGTGAGTATTGACCTCTGTTAAAGCGGGTTTTTTGTTTTTACACTTTTTGCATAGATCTACTGCTTGCTAGCGGTAGATCTATGCAAAAAAAAAACGGGGGCTTTAATTATCCTTTAATGTTAAAGATGTCCATAGGATGTACCTCCTCCATGCACTGACACAATTTCACCCAGCCCTTTAAATATGCACTTCCTTGTGTCACAACTTTAAGGAAGCCTGCCTACCAAACTACAACTCAATGTCTGAACTTCCCACAGTGTAACATCATCACAGCTTGCTGGAAGCAATGCATTATGGGGTATGTAGTCCTGAGAAATCAAAATTGCATCACATTAAGCAGCAGGGAACGAGATGCAAAGCACACTGGGACAAGAAAGTTGTTGAGAGAGATGGGCAGATGGAAGGCCGGACTCACTACATAAAGTAAGCTTTGATTGCATTATGAGAAACAACTCTCGTATGCATTCCTATTACAAGGCCGATGTTATAACAGGATAGAATATGTTTGGATTTCAGAACTCTTAACTCTACAAGCAGCAATGCCGGCATACTTTGCTCAGGCACGATCCACTGTCATCACCACCAGGAAGTTAGTCCATGATGCATTGATGTGCAGAAAACCATGGAGTGAGCGCATTTAGGACAGGAAGTAAATGCAAAGAGGTAGTTCAGCAACACTGAGATGCAACAAAGCATGAAAAAGTATAAAAACAAGTACCGGTATTGATAATGAAAATAAAGTTACCGTTGTTTATGATACACAGCGCCTAAACAGACACCATCTACTCAGGGTGTGCATCTACTGTAAGGGGAACCTGCACAGAGAGAAAGATGTAGGCTGACATTGCTGGCTTTTACTAAAAATGCCAGGTTCCTGCTGGTCATGCTTTTATACCTTCTAGGCTGGTGTTCAAAACAAATATGCAGATCAGGAGTTCTCACAGTATGATTGTACCCGGGCAGAGACTCGGGAAGTGCCAGGCAGTGGGCAGTTTCACGGCAATGGCATTTGGTGCTTTAAAAGACACGGGTTCCAAAACTTTTTGAGGATCCAAATAAGAAAACTGTTACAGTCCTGGAACCCAAACAGAGAATTATTAGCAAAGAGTCAGCAAAGCCAAAAACAAGTAACAATGGCTGTATAGCATATTGCAGGCACTCTTCACCATTTCTGTAAGCTTTAGTCCACCCTTTCCGAAACGAAATGTATAGTATTGATAAACACGTTACTAAACGAAAAATGTCCATTTATTGATTTTTGCATTGAAGCCTCCAAAGCATTGCAACCACAATCAGTGGATCACAGGTGCAATGCTCTGGTTCCTGCAGACTCTTCCTCCCAGTCCCTGTCCGTACCAAGGTATGGACTTTCAGTTACAGGGACGAGAGAAAGTATGAATGGTGCTGATGCACTTGAACTGCATTGAGAACTATAAGTCCCTCTACCGCCGCGGTAGCAGATGGGACTTGATGTCTTTCCATTCACAGATCCTGTCAAAGAATCTGTCAACAGCAGCTCCAGTTTTAAAAATATAGAGAATCCTGTGGGGAGCAGAACCCTTGGATTTTGGT